GCAGCATCTGTGGAGGAGAAAACAGAGTTAACGTTTCGAGTCCGGTGCCCCTTCCTCAGAACTCAGCTCTGAGGAAGGGTCACCAGACCCGAAATGTTAACTCTGTTTTCTCCTCCACAGATGCTGCCAGACCTGCTGAGATTTTCCAGCAACTTTGTTTTTGTTCCTAATCTCATGGGAATTGATTGTTGTGAAAATCCATCTCATTCATGAAGAATGTCTACCACTTGGCATTTATGTGACTCCACATCTACAGTAATGTTGTTGACTCACAACTACCCTCTTAAAATGGCCTAACAAACCACTCTATTCAAACACAATTAGGGATGGGCAACATGCTGTTGATGCCCATAACCCATGAAAGAGTACAGAAAAAAAAACTGGAAACCACCTTAACAACTTTAATTTAGACTACATTTTGATGTATAATTGAGGTATGGAAACACAAATTTCTGTTTCTGAACTTGGCTTTTTTTCAACATTCTACTAATTTTTGAGTATCATACCAACATAACCTCTTCTATGTAAAATATGTTTCTGTACAGCCTTTTGGCTATAAATAAACCTGAATAATTTGCATTAGCCTGTGTGCGTTGGCCACTTACTGCCTTCAAAGGTTGTTTCAGATGTTCTCCAGTATGTGTACTTTGCCAGTGACATAAGCTTACAGGTCAAGACCGAAAACCAAAAAGAGCTAAAAACCAAAGGTCTATTGAAAGTGACCCAAAAGGACCCAACCAGACCTAAATGCAAAGTATTTATCCAAAGGGACCCAGAAAGACTTATAACGGTAAGTGTATCCAACATCCCAAAAGCATTCTTTGTCTGAAAACCAGTTGGCCCTGGGGTTTTCAGATCTAGAATTCCCGACCTATACTTGCTTTACCTGTGCACATCCATGGGGATATATGATGCTATGGGTTTCAATGATAAGAAATGTAGCGTGTTTAATGAAGTTCAAACTTAACATGAATACTGTTTAATAAGTACTTTATATAACAGCAGACTGTACAAATGAAACAGGAACCATACAGACAGCATCGATTTCAACAGGGTCATAGAATCATTGAGATGTACAGCACAGAAACAGACCCTTCGATCCAACTTGTTCATGCCTACCAGGTATCCTAAATTAATCTATTCTTATTTGCTGGCATTTGTCCTATATCCTTCTAAACCCTACCTATACATGTACCCATTTAGATGCCTTTTAAATGTTTTTTGCAATCTCCTTTTAAATGTTGTTATTGTACCAACCTCCACCACTTCCTCTGGCAGTTTATTCATTCTGATGAAGGGTCTAGGCCCGAAACGTCAGCCTTTCTGCTCCTATGATGCTGCTTGGCCTGCTGTGTTCATCCAGCTCTGCATCTTGTTGTCTCCCACCCTCTACCTGATAACATTGCCCCTTAAATCTTTCCCATCGAACCATAAACCTATGTCTTCTAGTTTTGGACCCCTCCACCCTGGGGAAAAGACCTTGACTATTCACCCTATCCATGCCCCTCATGGTTTTATAAACCTCTATAAAGTCACCCCTCAGCTTCCGGCGCTCCAGGGAAAACAGCCCCAGCTTATTCACCATCGCCCTATAGCTCATACCCTCCAACTCTGGCAACGTCCTTGTAAATCTTTTCTAAACCCTTTCAAGTTTCGCAAAATCTTTCCTATAGCAGGGAGACCAGAATTGAATGCAATATTCCAAAAGTGACCTAACTAATGTCCTGTACAGCCTCAACATGACCTCCTAACTCCTATACTCAATGAACTGACCAGTAAACGCAAGCATTCCAAATGCCTTCTTCACCACTCTGTCTACCTGCGACTCCACTTTCAAGGAACTATGAACCTGCACCCCAAGGTCTCTTTGTTCAGCAACACTCCACAGGATCTTACCATTAAGCGTATATGTGCTGCCCTGATTTGCCTGGTCTTAAGGGTGATGGGTGAGAAGAGATTAGACTTTGTAGGCAAATGATTCAGAGTTTCTGGGGATAACTTGTGTTAGCTACAAATAGTTAACAGCTTGCAACAATGGAGACATGTCTTTATAGTGACCAGAGATTAAAAGTGGTGAATGGGACAGTAGGAAAGAAAGTTGCAGGGTCAGCATCTCCTTTAGGACAGTTAGTAGCAGCATCTTTTGGAAGGCAATGGGATGGAACAGTAAATATCTAGGGCTCATGAAGTAATGATAGATAGGGCTTGGCCTTAGGCAACAGAAAACAATAAAGGACACTTCTTGTTAATACAATTGAGTTTGAAGCTCCTGCTCATGTATTTACAGAAATTCTGAGCAGGTTTCATATTGACTTAGATTTAAGGCTGATGAAGACACCAGGAAATCAATTTTTGTCAATTTCTGTACAACCCAGTTCTGGATGATTGAAATCTGACACAATCCAGCCAGGTTGGCAATGGCTAATACATACAATTTGCCAATAATTTACTAATTATTCATAGCTTCCAGGTCTTACATCCCACTGACATTTCTTTGCAAAGGATGAAGTTCTGAGAAAAGGGAGATTAAATAAATCGACAGGAAACTCAAACTAGAATTGTGAGTTTGTAGGAAAGTGATGGAGCAGCCTAGAATCCAAGCTCTGATCATTGCTGTTGTCCAAATGTATCAAATTAGTGGGTATCACATCCTGCCAAACATGCCAGATTGACATAGTTTGCATTAATGGCTAAAAATAAAGAATTGTGAGTGCTTTTGACAGTATAGTGTGTGAAATTATAACAAAGGAAACATAATCAAGGAGGTCATGCAAATATGGATATTTTTAATCTCATTGTTCACAGATGTTACGACACACTTCTGGAGCAGTGGGACTTGAACCTGAGCCTCCTGGCTCAGAGGTAGGGATGCTACCACCTTGCCACAAACGCCTTCATGTAATATATGTGTACTCAAATCCTCATAATTAATAATTCCAGCTTCCCAAATCTTCAAGCCTATAAACCACAAAGGATTGTCTATAATCCTAATTGATTTAATTAGTATTTGTCTGTTTAGTTAGTAAGGAACTTCAAAAGTCTAAAGCTAGAAATTGTTAAGTGAGTGGAGATGACTCTTTATTGTCAAGGATCGTCCCTACTCCAGGTCTTGGCTGTTCTCCTGGCCTGTATTATTACCATTGGCAGATGCTTGCTAACCAGTGGCAGGGGGACACTGAGACAGGCGGGCACATAATTTTGCTGGCTAACATCCTGGTCCATTGGCACCATTCTGCCCTCAACCCATTTTCTGAAAGGCTGGATCAGACACTGAATTGAAATAATTTAAAAAATCAATTAAGGTTGGTGATCAGAGGCCAACTATTGGTGTTCACTTGGCCAGCACATCTTTACAGTGTTGTGAAAACTACAGCAGCCAGTAGAATATTGAACAGTACAGCACAGGAACGGGCCCTTCAGCCCATGATGTTGTACTGAACATGATGCCAAATTAAACTAATCCCTTCTGCCTGCCTATGGTCTATATCCCTCCACTCCTGTTTATTCATGTGCCTATCTAAAAGTCCCTTAAATGCCCCTTTGGTATCTGCCTCCACCACTACCCCTGGCAGCGCACTGCAGGCACCTACCACCCTCTGTGTTAAAAACTTGCCCCTCATAACTCCTTCGAACTTATTCC